TTAAAAGGATGAATGAAAAACATTTTGCTCGCATTTCCTCTAGGGCCGAAAGTGCTTCCAAGAAACTTGATTTGGCACATCTTGAATTTCACAATGATCGAGAAAATCTTCATCTTAAATGTGAAGTGGTTCGTTTGCGAAAAGAGGTAAATACTCTTTGTGAGGCGGAAAGGAGTTTCTATTATCAAAAAGCAAAGTGTGTGCATTTGAAGAATAGTGACTAATGTACTAAGTATTTTCATTCTTTGGCCAAGAGGAATTTCATCCCGGCTATACTTAAGAGAGACGGGTTTTATTCTACCTCTCTTGAGGAGGTTGGCACCGAATTCACGCATTTCTATAGTGAATTATTGGGGAGAAAAACTGTTGGACAGCATGCTAGTGTGGATGTTATAAGAAACGAACCGATGTTGTTGGAGGAGAATGCTTCTTTACTTGTTCGGGATATTACGAGGCAAGAGATCAAAGAAGCTATTTTTAGTATTGGGGATGATAAAGCCCCGGGGCCAGATGGATTTACTTCTTGTTTCTTCAAAAAATCATGAGACATTGTTGGTAATGATTTTATGGATGCTATTGAGGAATTTTTTGCTTCGAGATCTCTTCTCAAGCAAATCAATCACACCATCTTAGCCTTGGTACCTAAGGGTACTCACTCTTCTTCGGTGGGGGATTATAGGCCTATTGCATGTTGCAACGTCTTTTACAAGGTAATCACTAAGATTCTTGCCTCTTGTTTGAAGCCTATGCTTGACTCTATTGTGGACCAAGCTCAATCCGCATTTGTTGAGGGTCGGAGTATGATTGAAAATATTCACTTGGCACAAGAACTTTTGAGACAATATAACCTTAAGAGGGTTGCTCTACGGTACCTCCTCAAAATTGATCTTACTAAGGCCTTTGATTTGGTGAATTGGGAGTTTCTTGAAGAAGTTCTTGAAGGGTTGGGGTTTCCCAATATCTTTGTTGATTGGATTATGGAATGTGTCACTTCTCCATCTTATTCCATAGCGATAAACAGTGACCTTCATGGGTTTTTCAAGGGTAAAAGAGGTTTTTGGCAAGGTGATCCACTCTCCCCTTACTTGTTTATTCTCTGCCTTGAATACCTATCTAGATTGCTAAAGATGGCCACCTCGGATAGCAATTTCAATTTTCACCCCAAGTGTGCTCAATTGAAGATCACACACTTGGCATTTGCGGATGACTTGATGTTATTTGCTAGAGGGGATGTCATGTCTTTGGATATTTTATTGAATTACCTTTCGATTTTTGGAGGTATGTCGGGATTGAATATAAATGTTGGGAAATCTTGTATCTACACCGCGGGTATTCATGGTAAAGATTTGGAGGATATTCTTGCTCTCACAAATCTCCCCATTGGCTCCATGCCGTTTAGGTACTTGGGCATACCACTTGCGGCAGAAAAATTGAAAGTTGGGTCTTATGATGTGCTCACAAATAAAATCTCATCTTATATTGGTTCTTGGTCGACTTCTTCTCTCTCATATGCAGGTAGGACTGAGTTTGTGCGAGCCGTGCTCCAAGGTGTGGAATGTTTTTGGCTTTCTATCCTCCCTATCCCGACTACGGTAATTTCTAAAATCAATAGACTTTGTCGTAGCTTCCTTTGGGGGGGTAAAAAACCTTTGGTTGCTTGGAACACTATTTGCCTCCCTAAAGTTGAGGGGGGGCTCGATTTTAGAGACTTGAAATGTTGGAATTCTGCACTTCTCTCTAAAACACTTTGGAATATCCATTGTAAGAAAGACTCACTTTGGATTAAATGGATTAATGTTGTCTACCTCCAAGGGACAGATTTTTGGGTGTATTGCGTAAAGAAACAAGATTCCCCACTCATTAAGAAGCTGGTTGACATCCGGGACAGTATTATTGCTGCCCAACGGGACGGATTTTCAGCAATGGACAGATTGTGTAGCTGGACGGATTCTGGGATTTTTTCTACATTTGCCGCCTATGACTTCTTTAGGCCCAAGGGGGGTCTTCTTCTCTGGTCCAGAACGGTTTGGGATGGTTCCATCACCCCCAAACATGCATTTATTTTATGGTTAGCTGCCCATTCTAAGCTCCAGACGAGGGACAAGCTATTGCACTTGGAGTTGGATTGAAACTACCCATTTTGTGAGGGGATGGACGAATCTGTCCAGCACCTATTCTTTGGATGCCGGGTCACTTTTGAGGTATGGAAACAGATCAGATTTTGGTTGGGTACCGAGCACTTTTAAATGGTTGAAAAAAGAAGCGTGGGGGAAGAGTTGGCTGAGCTGTGTTAAACGGATTGCTTTTGCTCCCACTGTCTACTACATTTGGATGGTTAGGAATTGTTGTATTTTTGATGGTACAAAAGTGCAAGTTGAATCCATTGTTAGGAGGATCAAAACACACGTATACAAAGCAATGTTCGTTTTATATCCGAATGTTTTGATTCTCTTGCTAATGGTGTCTATTAGTATTTTCATCATTGATCTTTCTTGTACGTTTTTTGGACATGATTGGCCCGGTTATGCCCAGAGTACTTGTATTTGATTATGGATATTGGTTCGCCCGGGTATGCCCAGAGTACTTGTATTTGATTATGGACATTGATTTGCCCGGCTATGCCCGGAGTACTTGTATTTGATTATGGACATTGTCTCGCCCGGGTATGCTCGGTGTATTTGTACATGGTACATTTTTGATCTATACATTTACATTTATCGATAAAAAAAATAGTCTATGGCGACTAGCAGGAACTTCCTTTGTCCCTTAGCTAGAGGCAAAGGCCCTAGGATGTCCATCCCCCATTAGAAGAAGGGACACACCCCAAAAACTATTGTCTGTTGCTCGACTGGAACATGGATCAAATTTCCATGGCGTTGACATGTATCGCACTTCCTCACCAACTCCTTAGCGTCTTCCTTTATACTAGGTCAATAATATCCTTGTCAAAGCGTCTTGAACGCAAGGGCGGTCGTCCCTTGGTGGTTGCCACAAATTTCTGCATGTATCTCGACTAGTACTTCATGCGCTTCTGTCGGCCGCAAACATTTCAAATATGGCATTGTGAAACCTCGCTTGTAAAGTTGTCTATCGATGACGGAAAATGAGGCTGCTCGGACTTTTAGCTTTCTTGCTGCGAATGCATCTTCCGGCAACTTGTTCTTTGTGAGATATTCAACCAAAGGGTCCATCCAACTCTCCCCTTGCTCTACATTCACAACATTGACTGCGCGTTGGATGCTAGGTCGCCACAAGATTTGCATGCTCACTGTGCGAGGCAGACGTCTGGGGTTTGTGGATGTGAGCTTAGCTAGTGCGTCCGCCCGCTCATTGTCTTTTCGGGGGACTTTTGTTATTTTGAACATGGTGAACCCTTTCTGCAAGTTTTTGACCTCTATTAAATATGCCGCCATCTTTCCGTCTTTAGCTTCAAATTTCCCCGTCACTTGTCCGATTATCAACTGAGAGTCACTGCAAATTTCTACTGAAGCTACCCCAAGTCTGGCTGCCAGTCCTAATCCCGTGATTACTGCCTTATACTCGGCATCATTATTTATAGCTGGGGATTCAAAACGCAGCGAGTATTCCAACTCTTCACCATTCGGACCTACCATTATGATCCCCACCCTGGATCCTTCATCGTTCAAAGATCCATCCACATAAATTTTCCAATCTGCTTGTTCCCCCGGCAGTGCTCAGGCGAAATGGTGAGCTCAGCGATGAAGTCTGCAAGAGCCTGTGCCTTAATAGTCGTCCTTGGCCTGAGTTCAATATCAAACTCACTTAACTCGATTGCCCATTTCAACATCCTCCCAGAGGTCTCTGGTAGATGTAGGATCTGCTTGATAGGTTGGTCGGTCATTACTTGCACCGTATGAGACTGAAAGTAAGGCCTCAGCTTCCTAACCGCAACAATTAATGCAAACACTAGCTGCTCTGCCAGGCTGTATCCTACCTTTGCGCCCCTCAATACTTGGCTCACATAATAGACCGATTTTTGTGCCTTTGCGAACTCTTTTACTAGCACCGCGTTGACTGCCCTTGGTGAGAGTACCAAGTAGAGACACAACACGTCCCCGGGGCATGGGCTGGTCAAGATCGGGGGCTCCTGTAATGACCGCTTCAAGCTCTTAAGTGACTCTTCACATTCCTGGGTCCATTTGAAGTTGGAGGAACCCCCTATAGCCTTGAAAAAGTGGTAACATTTGTCCGCCACCCGGTTCATGAAACGATTTAAAGTGGCTACCTGCCCTGTTAGCCTCTGGACCTCCTTCCTACTGGTAGGGCTTTTCATTTCTAGGATTGCCTGAATTTTATCTGAATTCACTTCGATGCCTCTTTGCGTGATCATGAAGCCTAGGAATTTTCCTCCTGCAGTACCAAAAACACACTTTTCTGGATTGAACCTCAATTTGTTTTGTCGGGCAACGTCAAACACTCTTTGCAAACAGGCCACATGGTCATCAGCCTTGGCGCTCTTGACTACCATATCGTCAACATAAGCCTCTACAACATCTCCGATCAAACCGTGAAAGACTTTGTTCACCATCCTCTGATAAGTTGCCCCGGTATTTTTCAAACCGAAAGGCATAGCCGTGTAACAGTACGTACCAAAGTCTGTGATAAATGACGTCTTCTCTTGGTCGGACTCGGCCATTGAAATCTGATGATATCCAAAAAATGCGTCCAGAAAGCTGAGCTTTTCATAATCCGATGTAGCGTCTACCAGGTGATCTATCCTGGGGAGTGGGTATGAGTCTTTTGGGTATACCTTATTCAACCCAGTATAATCTACACACATGTGCCATTTTCCGTTTGACTTCCTCACAAGTACGATGTTTGCCAACCACTCGGGGTATTGCACCTCTCGAATGAAACCTGCCTGTAGCAATTTTTCTACTTCTGCTCTGGCTGCAACCTGCATCTCTGGGGCAAGATTTCTTTTTTCTGCTTCACTGGCTTAGCCCCTGGTAGGACACCGAGGCGGTGCTACGTGACGGTCAGGCTAATCCTTGGATGTCCTCCGGGCCCCAAGCGAACACGTCCAAGTTACCGGCTAGACACTTGGACAATTTTTCCTTTTCTTCGGATTCCAAACCTGTTCCGACACTAAACTCCCGTCCTTCGACTATAAAGATTTTTTCAATCATATCGAGCGACTTGATCCGTCCCCTTGGGAGTTCCACATCCAGCATCTTGATTGGTGGTGAGCCTTTCGCCTGTATACTATCCACATAGCATTTTCTTGATGCGTGCTGGTCCTCTTGCACGCTCCCGACTTCTCTGCTAGTTGGGAACTTCATAATTTGATGGTGGGTCGATGAGACAGCGCCATCTACGTTTAGCAATGGCCGGCCGTAGATGATGTTGTAGACAATGGGGGTCTTGACAACCAAGAAATTAGTCACAATCACCACTGTCGCTGGGTATGTGCCAAGCGTAATTGGGAGCTTTACAGTTCCCTTTGGTATCACTGTTGCCCCTCTAAAGCCTTGTAGAGAGGTAGTCACCATCTTCGGCTTTTCTGGGGGAATTTTTAGATCCAAGAAGGCATCCCAGGTGAGGACATTTGCTGCACTTTCTCCATCGACAAGCACCCTCTTTACGTCAAAATCTGCTATATCGCCCACCATGACTAAGGCATCATTGTGGGGATGCGTTATACCGATCAAGTCCTCTTCGTCGAAAGTAATGCTCTGGTTGAACCTTGCTTTTTTTTTTATAGAGCAGACTCCTGTGGAACGCGCATAGCTCTTTCTAGCTGAATTTGAGTCGCCACCCGATGCTACTCCCCCAATGATCATGTTTATCACTCCTGCCCTTGGTGGGGGTATTCCTTCGAGCCGTCTGCCCGTGTCGTTTTTTACATACTTGACCAATAGTCCCCGCCTTAGCAGGCGCTTGATTTCTTCCTTCAATTGTAGACGTTCTTCTATATCGTGCCCGTGATCTTTGTGAAAATGGCAGTACTTACTTTGATTTCTCTTGCTAGAGGAAGTCAGCATTGGTTTAGGCCATTCGAGCTCTTTCACGTGTTGTATCTCCATTAATAACTTCGTACGTGGGATGTTCAAAGGGGTGGGTGCCTTGGCCTCCTCTCGCTTCTGCTTGACCGACTGGTCTTGGGCATAACCCTTGTTTATGCGTTCATTCTTCGGCTTATTCTTATCATTGTGCCTTCGCCCATCATACGCTTTTCGCTTATGTGCTTCCGTCTCCCATCAGTCCTTGAGATTTTTGGTCACTTTCTCCGCTTCCTCCGCATCAACATATTTATCTCCCTTCTTCAATAAGTCATGCATTGACTCTAGGGGGTTTTTGGAGAGTGACATTTTAAAGGCTCGATTTCGCATTTTGTTCATCAAGGTAGTAACCATTGCGGACATTTGCAGGTCTTTTATGCCGAGAGTAGCCCGGCTAAACCTAGCCAAGTATTCCTGCAATGACTCGTCTTTCTCCTGTACGACCTGCATCAACCCAATGACTGTCTTTCTCTTCCTCTAGCTGCTTAAGAAGTAAGCCACAAAGCTCCTGGAGAGCTCATCAAACGTCTTGATAGACCGTGGGGCAAAGGTTGCTACCCAGTCCCTGGCCTCCCTCCTGAGTGTGGGAGGGAAGGACCGGCACATCAAAGTGTTCGGGGTGGCATAAAGTCTCATCAAGTCTACAAAGGTCCGCAGGTGGTCAAGCGGATCTGCGACTCCATCATATGCTTCTATCATGGGTTGCTTGAAGCCTTTAGGCAAGGGGACCGCTATGATCTCAGGGACGACCAGGTCTTCCTCCAACACCATCTGCCTCCGTCTATCATTTCTCTTGGACAGTGCATCATCTATCTTCTGGGCCATGATTTCTTCCATCTTTTGTTCCAGGTCCACCATGGCTTGCAGGGGCTGCTGAGCTACGACCGCTGGGGCCCCGCGCGCTCCCGTCCCCTACAGAGGGATGGGTGGAACAACCGCGGGCGGCGCTTGAGGCGGTTGCTGGTTCGTCGCTTCCGTCGGACTCAATGGAGGGACCGTGTCTCTCTGCGACTGGTTTTGCAAGAGCGCCATCATTGTTGCCATTTGAGTCTCCAAAGCGCTGAACTGACTCTGCATCACATACTGAGGAGGCGGCGATGGCTCGTGACCCCTTGTAACTGACTCCTACTCCGTCTCCGCCGTATTTCCAACCAAACGAGTTTCACTCCTTGTTCGTCTTCTCGACATAGCTTTTTAGTTCAAATGATTTCCCACAGACGGCGCCAATGGAATGGCTGTGGAACAATACCTTTCTATCTACCTTGTGGCGTTCGATATTCCGACTGCTCCGCAAAGTGTTTGTGACCTAAAAAATGAAAGCGGGGCTTCCTTCCCCGTTTTACCTCCGGCGTGAGAATTAGTTTTTAGACTTGCAATTGGAAATCAGATGGCTAAAAAGAGTGAGAGAGAGCCTTACCTGTGTCACATCCGGGGTATTTATAAATATTGGGAGCTGGATAACCGCTGGGCGATTGTGGTGTCACGTGTCCCACGTTGGCATTCCCACTACCCCCACGTTCTGAGTGGGGGTCTTTATCTTCCCGTCTGGAGGTTGTACCCGTGTTAATTGCCATGAAACCTAGTCAATTTACTAGAGATTTTATCGCTAAGTGTTTGGGTTGGCTATTCCGTGCCCATTGAAGACCTCGCGTAGTGGTAGAGCACCCCCGGGGGTATTGGTAGAGCGCTCATGGGGGGTTGACGGCTTTGCGTAGTGGTAGAGCGCTCCCTGGGAGTAATGGTAAAGCGCTCCTCGGGGGTATTGGTAGAGCGCCCCTAGGGGGGTTGATGGTCTTGTGTAGTGGTAGAGCGCTCCCCAGGGATATTGGTAGAGCGTCCCTAGGGGGGGTCGACGGCCTTGCGTCGAAGTGTAGTGATCCATCTTGCTTGTATGTCGAGGGTGGCCTTTTCTACCAACCTATATCATGTATGTCTTTCAAAAATAGATTGCAGCATATCCCAACACTTCATCTCAAACATAGAGGGTCAATATCTATGTGATACTTCTGCTAAGGTGATGACATCAGTCCAACTTCTTCTACTTCGATGGCCTTGATTAGGCTAGGTAAGCAAGTGATGTAAAATGTGGAACTCATGTGACTTCTTGTTGGTTGTCACATTACCAATGTGACATGCTTTGTAACATGCTTTGTAAAATATGGGAGTTTTAAATTAAATTTGAGAACTTTTTACATTTTTTAATCACAATTTTTGTAGAAATATATATTTTTTTTCATATTTTCAATCACACATTATTTAATAAAATAATATTATGTTTAAATTCAAAATTTTTTAACCATACATTATTCCAAATTTTTTCCCTAAAATTTATTTTTAATGGAGTCAAACAGATAATAGGGCTCGTCTGCAGATCAGAAATCCTACATTGCTCCAAATTTCACCATGAAATTCAGTTTCCATTAGTACCCCAAAGTGCTTCTCGATTTACGAATATGCTTCAAAACAAAACTTCGATATCCTCGAGAAAGTGAAGTAAAAAATGTCAACCTCGAGGAGGGTATTTTAAGAAGTTCAAATCGTATCCGGACAGAAGTCGCTGGCCATGTGTTCATGAAACTTTTCTCCTTTGAGAAGTTGAAAATTGCAGCCAGCTAAGCGGATAACGGGAAGAAGTAACGGCTCTAGGGGGATACCCCCGAATATTCCGACAAAGTAGACAGAACTGTAAGGCCACCAGAGAAGTAGCTATCGTATGTGGTAGCAGAGATGTGGAATGATATCATCCGATCCTCCCCATTCCTGCCAGGTCAGCAGTAATCACTGCCATTGAGTTGGAATCTAGACGTCTATGATGCATGAAAGTGAATGGAATTTACCGTGTTTTTTAAACCGTTCAATAATATTATTGCATTTTGACAGTATGTTAAAAATTATGTCAACGATTCACAATTGCCACCCTAATATTTAATCTACATAAATTATGTAACAATAATTTATCAAAACTAGCCACTTATTAAATTTTAATTGTATAAATGTTAAATATATAATCAAAATCGACAACTCCATCAATATCTATTAATTTGACTAACAAAAGGTGACATAAAAGTTTAATTATTTCCTAACTAGATTATTGACTTAGAAAGAATTTCAAGTTTAACACAATGAATGGACGCAATTTTAAATTGGAATTCGCCCTTTAATACAAGAATAGATTTTTGACGAGTTATTGTTTAGAGCTCGGTAGAGTTTTTCATCATTTGTCTAGTTGTGTTACTATTTCGATTAAGTTTTAAGTTAAAAATCCCTATTTTGATGGTGCATTCATATAAGTTACTTGGTACAAGATAAGATAGGTGATAATTATTGCTCGAGTAAAGAATAGATATATGAAGAAATCCTTCCTTCCTCTCCTTACGAAATAAAATAGTTGTTCGACCAGAGAATCTAGACTACACCAATATATTTATAATGAATTACCATCTAAACTTTTCACCAACATATTCGAATCGATCGGAAAAAAGTAATCAATATTGACCCAATTCCTAGTATTGCTTATTGGAATAAGCTTTACAAAAAATAATTGAGAGGAATTTTCGACTCCTGAAAATAAAAGTTTGTAAGCCCATGGACAATTTCTTGCTCAATGAATCATCATTTTCTTATTATACTTTATGGCCCCATGTTATTATTAGTACTATAACTTAAATTGCAAAAGGCAATATTTTTTAATCATACCAAGGTCTAAATTTTCCTTTTGAGTAACGAAAATGGCAATCTTTAGGATTGGTTAATGTTGGACTTTTATTAAGTAATTACCTCTTTTGCCATTCAACTTTTAATATATTATTTCATACTTTATTTTAATTTCTGAATAAGTGTTATTTTATTCCTTCAACTTATTGAAGAATATACATCATTTCAATCTTAAGAAAAACTAGCGCACAAGCAGTTATCGAATTAGGATTAAATGGAATAAAATGAGTTTTATTTTGTCTTTATTCAATACAAGTTTTATTTACAACTTCGTAAATCATTTTGAATGTTCGTGACATGTTGCAATGTTAGTTTTGGCATCAGATCAATGATTGAGAATTTAGTAGGAAAATAAATATGTGATTATTAAAAATAATATGGGAAATTAACTGAAATTATAACTAATTAAAAATTTGAGGTATAGAGGTACTAGAATAATGTCACTTGACCCACATGATGACACTCTCGATAACCGTGTCCTCACATGGGATACATGGATCTCGTGCGAATAAAATAATCCCGACCCTCACGTGTGTGCGCGGTCATCCATGCGAGTTGTGTAGCACGATTGGAGGTACCAGTGGAGTACTGGAACAATTTAAGAAAGTGCATCTTCTGGGGAAGGTTCATTTGCACTCAAACCAAAGATTATAATAACATTATCCATAAAATAAATGTTGGATATTGGTTAAATAAATCGAGAATTGAAAATCGATTAAAGTTCGTATCGACTTCGGCCAAATACTCAAAAGCTCGACTCAATTCGTTTAGGCAAAATTGTTTGCCACTTCGTCGCTTCGGAGCGCACAAACGGGGATCGACCTGCATGTATTGAAGGGTATATTTGGCATTTCGAAAATCAACATCGGATGAATGAGAAATTACGAAAAAGACCTCAACCATTAGTGAATAGACACCTTTTCATAAAGGTGCATTGTTTGGAAAGGGTGCATGGTTTAGCCTCAACCATTTCGTCCACACCCTTTCATGGTCTATAAATAGGACCCTTTGGGTGTCCTATTCTTCACAGTTTGATATGCAAAAACATCTCTCATCCTCTCTTCTATCCAAAATCAAAATCATTTCATTTATTTTGATTTTCTTTCATTTCATCTTTGGAGTACATAAGCCTACATTTGGTTCGTTGTACTTGTGTTTTGGAGTGCTACAAACACAAGTGTAGCCGTTGTATCTTGGGAGTCGATTGCCGAAATTCGTAGGCACCGTTGCGGGGCAAATTCGACTTAAGGACAAAGAGTTCAACACTTGCCTCGACTTTGTCACCATCATTATACTTATTTCGGCGTCACTATTCACAAAATTCTTCCAACAATAAATTAGTAATAGAACACAAGAAATTATTGTTTTGTATGTAATAATCATTTTAATTTGTAGACACATTTTTGTTAAGTTTGAGTTTTATTTATAAACCACATTGTTAAAAATTGTGAATTATATATGTTAGTAAACTTGTTACGAACATTCAAGTATAGTCGGGTGCATATTATTAATAAGGGAAATTTTAAAAATACATAAATTTAGAGTGTAATTACACTTTATAATGTGTTTTTTTAAATTTTTGCTTTACATACTACATTTTACAGTATGGTAAAGAAAAATAATTTTTGATAAAATATTACAAATTTTCTATTAAAAATAGTTAAATAAATAAAAATATTCATAAGTGAAAATAACAAATCACACTCTTTGCATCACATTATGTGACACTTTACATACCAAATTTTTAACTATTTTGTATTCTTAAAGAAAATAAAAATCAATTACTAATTTCATTTTCCTCTAAAAACTTATTTTTTTTCCTTTCTCATTTGATCTCTCTCTTCATAAATTAACATTAAGCTGGTCATTTTACTGCAGTACATCATATACATATATATATTTTTTTCATTTTATTTTTACACAATTATATAATTTTATAAATTCTATCTTTCAAAGTCTAAACTAGTGATTATTTATATTTTGCCTATTATGTTTATTCTTTATGTGATGGCTCATCAACTTTAGTAAATGCACCCAAACCGTTTGACAAGTCCATAAGGAACAAATTTGCAGAATCAGTTTTTAGGACTCAGAGAGTTTGATGTGACAACAGACAAAAAGAAATAAGAAGAAAAAAGAATGAAAAGACTGCAAAGTGCAAAGTGCCAAAGTGTGCTCTTATTATGTGTGGGTCAAAAAGTTTTGCTTACACGTACATCGGGCTGACACTTTGATATATACTCCTCTCATGTTACACCTCACACGAGAAATCTCAAGGTTTTTTTTTTAATCATGAAGCCTATCCTCTAATATGAAGGGAGTGTATATCAAAGTGTCAAATCCGATATACAAATAGCGTTTTTCATGGACCAAATGTATAATAACTCACTAACAAAGAACCTCTAATAGACTATATAACTTGATTAGCACCTCATTGTGGAAATCAGCAGCTAGTCGCTTGAAAATAAAGGAACGCCATGAGCAAAAACTTGACTTCAACTTCACCCTTCTCCAAATATATTGAGCTTTGAATCTTTGATAGAAATGCCAAATCAAATTTGAGTTGATGGGATTTGCTAGCCCTGCAATGATGCAATCCCTAATCTTGTGAGCCACTCAAGTTCAATTGGCCCTTTAATCATGCAATCCCTAATATTAAGGATGCGCATGTTTTTATGGCACGTTCACTAGAGAGTTAGAAATAAGCTAAAATCTTCTTTTGAAACTGGACAGAAACCTCAAGTTTTGGTTCAGTTCGATTCCAAGTAAAATGTACAATGCTAGTTAGAAGGTAGAGTTGGACTTCACGAATTTTGCATGAAGCTCCAATGCAGATCTTGGAAAACATCAACATTACCAAGATTATTAGGTGGACACCTCCAAATGGAGATCCTAATCGATAATGTATAGAAGAGTTGCCAAGATTATATGCTAATTTAAGAATTTGATATATTTCTTTCCAGATAAATATGCTGTTGTTAGGATACAAACTTTATGGTATTTTTTCTGATTTATAGAAAAGTAGTTTTTACAAAAAAATCGATCCACAAATTCGTTATTAGTGCTTTCTCCAGCATATCAAGCTTTATAGTTTATACGCCATCTGATTTCTGGACTACTTGAAGAGATATACACAGCAGTAGATGAGGGTGCACAGTCTGGCTCACATAGTTGCCAATTGTCCTCGCGATTGACATTCATTGCAAGAATCCATGAAACAATGTTGACGTAACAAGTTTACTCAAATGTGATGGGACGAGGCGAAACGAAGTACAAACATTGTGTGGTGACCTCTTGCTTTATTTTTGCTTAGCTGACTGCCAAGTGACCTGTCACATCTTGTAGGCCAAAACCTAACACTTATCTTTGATATTGTTATACATTTTATCGTGTTGGTTTTGGAGAACTCCATTGTGATTTCGTGAAGGATTAAAAATTTTGGGAGAATAATGTCGGAGATGAACTCCGAACATCATTCGGGATGGCCCCATTTTATAGTTTGCACACATCAATCCCATTGCTGCATAGCTGTAATTTATGTGTTCCTATGTAGCACTTCTGTTTCCAACACCAGGGAGCTCAAATTAAATGTTTACATTGCAGTATTCGATAGTGTATAACAATTATCAAATGAATAACATAAAAAATTTGTGGTCTTGAAAATTTTCAGAACACTTTTTTCAGCTATAAATTGATTGGTTCCTCATTAACCTTATAAAGCTCTTCACTGCGCCAAAGTTGTAATTTTTTTTCCTCTTCCACTGCATTTCTACTGTGTTTCCCAACACAATAACTTCTGGTTTGTCCCAGCAAGTTGTACCAATTCACAAGCACAAGCTCAAGAGGTAAATATTGGCTCAAATCTCGTAATCTGCTTGTGAAATCCTACTTCCAATGAAAAGATGAGACTTTTGCAATTTCTGTAGCCTCTCAAATGGGAAAAATGAGATTGATTTGCCATGCTTTCAAGGCACTGGAGTTTTCGCTTCACTTAATGATGATTGAGGAACCCGATAATCTTGTAACAACAGTGCGTACAGAATCTCATTCCAAGAATCAGGGACTCCCGGTAAGCACCAGTGGATGCAGTCAGCATAATTTTTTGGATCAGATCTCTGTTCTTTAGTCAAGAGTTTGCCTTTTCGTTCACCAAACACTGAGGTATGTCCATCTTTCCTGAATTCTGACAATTGGGTTATGTTTAATAATCTTACATTGGCCTTCAATTTTCCCGTGATTTCTTTTACTATTCCCATGATTTCAAGATTTGAACCTGTTCCCCAGTACGATCCTTCAATTGGGTGTGTTTCTGTAAAGCAATTACCATCACTTCCAGGCTTCCATTCCCAGCTCCTGCACATGAAAATTTTCCTTCAAAACTCTACATAAACTTATATAAGCCATGAATACATGCAATGTGATGAAGCCACACATTCAGCAAGAGATTTCATATATTTTGGATTATGGAACTCAGTCAACTCACCACAAATGAGTTGGAGATAATGTCGCAAAGAAGATCTTTTGAGTTCGAGGATTAATGCTGGATTCTATCCAATTCGCCCACGTTTCTAATGCCAATCTATAGGCAGTTGTTGCATTATATTCTTGAATGTTGTCCTCAGATCCATATCTGGGGAAACAAATACGAGCTACATTAATAAAGTATACAGGACGTGTCCAAAATGAGTTAGTTCAGATATGCATTTCTTACGTTGCGTTGATTTGAGGTTTGTGCATCCACCAAACGTAGCTTTCAAAGATCAAAATATCAACTTCTTCCCACTCTTTACTGTGCTTAGCAACAGAATCAAGCTTGACGAGGCGTTTCAATACAGTATGATTCGTTGCATGTTCTGAAATTGACTCGACAATGAAGGGAGCCCAATAGTACTCAATTGTCGCATTGAACTCCTGGAATAAAAGTGAAAGTGAACTCGTTTTGGTATCAATCTAGTGACAAAACATACTATTTGGAGGACTTTTCAGAGTTCGTCTTTTGTTTTAGTAAAAGAATGGAGACTGAGAAGAGATTTAGGGAAGCAATTTCATTACCTCAATTGCAAAAATTTTCCTGGGGGGAATTCTTGTAAGAGATTTCATTCCATCTGGTATTGCAGATTGTACCAAACAAACCATAGACTCAAACATGCCTCTTTGTATTGAGTCTCCAACAAACATCAACCTTTTATCCCTCAACATCTCCAGAAACTTGAGTGCATTAAATCTGAACCATTTCAACAACTTATCACACAACTTTCCTTATAGTAATATTTTGTGGAAAAAAAAAAAAAAAAAACTCGTCTAAAAGTTCGTACCATGAAAATTTTACTTTACACATGTTTGTTACTCAGTACTTAAGATCTGACACATGATTTTTAGTGAGGTTAGAACTTTTACATGCCCACTTGAAGTTAAACAAGTGCACTACTGGCTCCAATTGGCAATCTAAAATCAAGTTCTTTAAAGCAATACCAAAAGAAAAAAATTGAATTGAGTAGAATGAGATGAGAAATAATTACTTTGGCAAATTGCAAGAATTAGGCTGCCACCTCCAATTCTGATAGAAAGAATCAGGTCTCCCATTCCTTAAGCATGTAGTTTGTTTAACCAAAAATGGGCAACTTTCTTCTCTATAAAGTGGATGACTTTCATTATCCCAAATCCATTTCCCTTCAAAAACATTGCATCCATCTTTGATTATTTCATCTTCAGAAACATTAATTGGCACTCTAAATGATCTTCTGCTTAATCCTCTCCAATGCAGATATAGCTGATTGTTCTTCAAATTGTCAAGAAAAACACGCACCGTCCCCAGTATTAGCATGGAAAACAAAGCGAGGGGGAAGAGGAGTTGGATCCGACGATAATGTGATGAGGGTTGTGCCGTCATTGCTTGGCGGAACGTGGATGAAGAGTTTTGTCATGGGATTAGGTTTTTCAGTTGTGTCTTGGCATTTAATCATGATTTGAGGCATTCCATGCAACTGCTGGTTGGTAAGTTAGAAAGTTAGGTATGAGGTTCAATTGCTTAAGTTTGGTGCCTAAGTTAACATAACAATCTTTTTACGTCTGTCACATTCTTCAAATGTATTGCCATCAGAGATTTGATCGAGCGGGTTGGGTCGAGTCGCATATGCAATTGGGCAAGGCCAGGC